TATATATATATATATACACCCTTGGATGGCAAGGTTCGATCCCTACGTGGACAAATAACGCATATTGAGAGCGGTATTCTCAAATACCACCCGTTTAAATACACACACACACACACACACACACACACACACACACACGTACATACATACATACATACATATATATACATGCATATACTTAGAGATACATATATATATACATAGAGATACATATATATACATATGCAGATACATATCTATATATTTGTATATATATATACACACATATATACATATATATATATATATACATACATATATACATATATATAAAAGTGATGCTTTGTTTCTTGATATTTTCAGACGAAAAAAAATTAGACTCGTCCGAAAAAGGAGGGCTATTGATACGCCACCAACAAATTTTCATCATCCGGCAAGAATCTCGAGGTATGACACGAATCTCAAGGCAACCTTTTGAGCAAGAAACATTCAAACTTCAATTAAAAGCCATCCAGAGCTCCGATTTCAACAAACTTATAGTCAAACTGACCGACTCGATAAGACGAACCTAATAATATCAAAGCTAGTCCAATTCGAGTCAAATCAAGCCCAGATCAAGTGATTAAATCATTTTTGAAACATTTTCGGACACATTTGAAAGATGAAACGAATGTCGAATTCAACGAGTTCATACGCGAATCGAACGTCTCGACAAGGTGAATCCAACGAACCCAAGATTGCTCAATTCCGACATCGTTAAAACACTTAAATGCCCATCAAACGCCATCCGATCGAGAGAAGCTCTCTGGATCGTCTGATCAAAATGATTCATATTCCTGTATTAATTGCACCCAAAACATTGAAAGATGAAACGAATGTCGAATTCAACGAGTTCATACGCGAATCGAACGTCTCGACAAGGTGAATCCAACGAACCCAAGATTGCTCAATTCCGACATCGTTAAAACACTTAAATGCCCATCAAACGCCATCCTATCGAGAGAAGCTCTCTGGATCGTCCGATCAAAATGATTCATATTCCTGCATTAATTGCATTCAAAACACTATAAATAGAGCCCCACCCCTCACATGAGGGGGGAGACTTGAGAGAGAGCTTTGAGGAGCTTAACTCCAACATCATCTCTGTCACCACCGGTTGTCGTCGACCACCAGTGACCTTCGTCAACCACCGCCGACCGCCACCAATTGTCATCGACCACCGCTACCGCTAACCAAACGCCGCCAGTCGACGTTATACTTTGGAAAGTTTAGTAACCATTTCTCGTCCGTGGGATAAGGGACATCTGTAATCATCAACTTATAGTGAATTTTTATAATTGGGCCAGAACTCGGTTTTTATAACTGGGCCAGGCCTCGGTCCCGTGGTTTTTTCTCTTTACGGGTTTTCCACGTAACAGACCTCGGTCTCGTGGTTTTTTCTCTTTACGGGTTTTCCACGTAAAAACTTCTGGTGTCATCACATGTTGATTCATTTTCATCTAAGTGTGTGCTGAATCCTCATGCAATGCTAAGACGACATTAATGCAACGCTAAGACGACATTACTCTACCGCCGCAAATTTTCTAACACGCATCAATCATTTTAAGTGAAAGCAATATTTTAACTCATCTGCACATAATTTAACATTATAATATTATTATTAAATGTAAAAATTCAAAACTAAAAGGGGCTTCCTAGCCCCCAAGATTGAAACTAATTTTCCCCATTTTGAAAGTGAGTTCAAGAATTAGAACTTAATTCCATTTAGTTTCAACTAAACAAACACTTGGGCTCATTATAGAAGCAAAATCCAATCAATTTGGGTGCTTACAATAAAATATATTGGTCCTAGGTTTAGCTGGACCTCTAGAAAATAGGAAGTTTCGGAAATTTTGTTGGAATACTTCTAAGTTAACCATGATGATTTAGCTCATTCAAGCAATCTATCTTAATCAGAACAGCTGAGGCAAAATCCAGTCACTTTTGGGTGCTTACAGTGAGATAACTTGGTCCTAGGTTTAGCTGGACCCCTGGAGATTTGCAAGTTTCAGGACCAACATGGAATACTTTAAGTTAACCTTGAAGAATTAGCCCATTCAAGTAATCTATCTTAATCAGAGCAGCCAAGGCAATTTTTTCATTTCGCTTGTTGGCTTGGTTTAGATAAGCTTGTGTCTAATTTAGCTTTACAGTTAACATTTCTGTAAATTTGTATTTCCAATTGATGAGTTTTTATTTATCCTTTGATTACAGGTGTGGTCATTGCAAGAAACTAGAACCTGAGGTAAGGAATTTTCTTTTTAACTTCGTCGCTTTTGGGGAAATTATAACTTTAACTTCTGTAAGTGGCAGTAACGGGCCATCTGATTAAATTTTTCCTTGCAGTATGAGAAGGCTGCATCATTATTGAGTAAGCACGTTCCTCCCATTGTTCTTGCTAAGGTTGATGCCAATGAGGAGTTAAACAAAGAGCTTGCCTCTACACATGAGGTTAGTGGCTTTCCTACACTTAAGATCCTGCGAAATGAAGGGAAAAACATTCAAGATTACAAAGGCCCACGGGATGCTGATGGCATTGTTGAATATTTGACCAAACAAGCTGGCCCTGCTTCTGTTGAGATTAAATCCTCAGAGGAGGCAGTTAATCTCATAGGGAAAAAAGTTTTTATCGTGAGTTCTCCTTCTCTATTTGCTATTCCCACTTTTTTTTGCTCTTATTTATTTATTTATTTATTATTTTTATTTTTATTGCCCACCTTAGCCATTATTACTCTCTTCTATACTTAAAAAGTTATAAAGTTTCATTCCTGTTACACAATACGGTAGGTTGGGGTATTTTCTGAATTTTCTGGAGAGGAATTTGAGAACTTTACCCAAGTAGCCGAGAAGCTGCGCTCAGATTATGATTTTGGGCATACTATTGATGCTAAGCTGCTGCCTCATGGGGATACAGCAGTTAAGAGACCTGTAGTTCGCCTGTTTAAACCATTTGACGAGCTTTTTGTTGATTTCCAGGTAATTTGATGCAAGTTCTGTTGCAGTTTGATTCCTATGTTCGGAAATGAATTTGGTAGTGATTTGCAAAATCAATTTTGCTTGTGACTGCTTTATATTTTAAAATTAGTTCTAATGTTTGTAAAATGCAAACGTATTGTTTTTTTTTTTTCAGGATTTTCATTTGAATACCTTGGAAGGCTTTATTGAAGCTGCCAGTATCCCTATTGTTACGATATTTGACAAGGATCCTGTCAATCACCCATATGTGATGAAGTTTTTCAACAACCAAAACGCCAAAGTAACAACTACCTCTGTATTCCATTGTCCGTTGTTTTTCCTTGTTTATCTACATAAAAATTCTTGATGGCTTTGATTTTAATAACTTAACATCAAGATATCCATGGCTTAGTTTTATGATATTGGGTTCTGGAGTTAATGTCACTGCTCTGCTTGCATGGATCGTAATAAAATGAACCCCCACAGGGCAAATTAGAGTGGAGATTATATCAGCTTATTTTTGTGAATTAAATTTTAATTTCTTGTTGATACAGAAGTAATCCGTGGAAGAAGGTTTGCTGATTTAAAATATGTATATGTGAGTTACGTAGCCAACCTCATTATACCATATTATAGTTAATCCACAGTTTATGATTCCTGGAATTCACGGTCTAACTGATTCTCTGACATGTATTTTATCAGTAAAAATTATTTTGAATGAGTTATAAGAATGAATGGTTGTGATTCTTTAACATACTATGATACTCTCACCCTAATGCGGGTTTTGATCTATTTCAGGCATGTATTTATCCCTGTCCTATTTTCTTTCCATTTTTTTAAGGAAGATTTACATACATACCAATCAATTCGAATGTATTTAAATATCTTAACCTAAACATCAATTTTTACATACATACCACCTACCTATGCATGAAAAGGTTCACTTTTTAGAAGTTAAAATGGTGGTACTTTTGATGCGCTATGAAAAATTTGCATGGTATGTAAAAATCAAAGTTTACATGTTAGATATATGAATTCATAAGAATTGAGTGGTATGCATGTAAATGCCCTTTTTTTTTAATCTTGTGTTAGGCACATTCAAACTTTTGTAGCTTTCTGCTGGATGACACACTGACACAAATTTTTATCTTGTGTTTGGCATTATCTTATAAAATGGCATCTTTTGTGACAGGTTTTACTTTTCATCCATTTTACTGATGAACATTTTGATTCATTCAAATCGAAGTATTTTGAAGTCGCTGAGAATTACAAAGACAAGAAATTAAGCTTTCTGCTTGGAGATGTTAAGGCTGGTCAAGGCGCCTTCCAGGTTATATCTTAAGCACACTTCTATTTTGCTTTTTGAGCATCTTTTACAATCAGCTTCTCACAAGCTTTTGGTGGAAATCTTTTCATGCTAGCAGTATTTTGGCCTTGAAGAAAGTCAAACCCCGCTTATTATTCTGCAACAAAATGACGGGAAAAAGTTCCTTAAACCTAACTTAGAAGCTGATCAGATTGCAACGTGGCTTAGGGAGTATGTGGTAATGCCTTGTTTCTCCAGCATATGAAGCCTATAGTGAAAATTTGATCTCCCGTTTTCACTCAATTTGAACTACCTTCTTTTGATCTCAACTAGATTTGTTTTATTTCTTCAGGATGGGAACCTCACACCTTTTATAAAGTCGGAGCCGATTCCGGAGGCCAATAATGAACCTGTGAAGGTGGTTGTGGCAAACAGTCTACATGATGTAGTTTTCAACTCCGGAAAGAATGTTTTACTTGGTTTGTTGCCAGCAATTTCTTTCGTGAAGCATCAAAATCCTTTCATGATAATAATTTAATTATATAGAGTTCCAAAGCATTAATGCTTAAGCTAAATTAAAATTGATCTTCTGTGGGTTTGTCCCACTTTGATTGAATATGTCGAAGAAATTAATGTGATTTCCTTCTATATGTTCTTCTTGGTATAAAATATATATATATAATGTTTTATGCTCTTTCATCTTGTTTTGTGTGATTTCTATATGTAATGATTTGGTCTTTTTTGCAGTTTTACTTGAATTTTATGCCCCTTGGTGCGGACATTGTAAGAAACTGGCTCCCATATTGGATGAAGTAGCTGTTTCATTGCAAGATCATGCTGATGTCATCATTGCCAAAATGGTATGTCCTGTAATTGGATATGGTTGAGAAGTATGTTTTCTGTTGTTTCTTATTTCTCTTTTTATATCATTGAAAGATGCTATTTTTCCCCTTAATTTATGCCATGACTATTATGAATACACGTCCACCACAAAACTTGCAATAAAAGGAGAAAGAATTATCATAAGGTTGTTGTTACAATATTTTTAAGGTGAAAGATTTACGTACATATCACTCAATTTCTATGTATTTAGTATGTAACACCTGAACTTTAATTTTTGCATACCTAGCATGAAAAGGTTGTATTTCACTTTTTAAAAGTTAAGAAGTTGATATTTTTATGTCATATGAAAGATTTGAGCGGCGTAAAGGTAAAAAATAAAGTTTAATTGTCAGGTATGTAAACGCCTAGGAATTGGGTGTATGTATGTAAATGTCCCTTTAAAAAATTTGCTTAGTTAACAATTTTTCGATTAGTTTATTATAGTGATGTATAATCAATGAAATTTCACTCACATGTCTCATGAATATGCAACATTATCATTATCATAGAAATGTTAAAAATTTTAATCTACTAATATGCAATGCTCCCTAAGGGCCCGTTTGAGGCAGCTTAATTGGCGCGGTTTGAAAAATCCGGATGAAGCGTTTGGAAAGAACAACACAACCGCTTTTCTAAAATATTTATGTTATACACGGGCCGCGACCCTCGTCTCTCTCGATCGCTCCTCTCTCACGCCTATCTTCAGTGGCAACGTATTGCCTTTCTTCTTTCCCTCTTCCCTCCGATCTCTGGTGGAAACAGGTTGCCTCTCTACTCTCCGTCTTCCCTCCAATCTTCAGCTCTCTGATTTTGCTATTTTTGGCTTTCTCATTTGCAATTTAGATTTTACGGTTGTGACTTTCTCTTTATGATTTGGAATTTGAATTTTGTGAGTTTTTCGTTGAACATGATATAGAATGTGGTTTTATCTTTACCTTTGATGTTCGAGCGAGAATTTGAGAAATGACTGAAAGAGAGTGTTTGATTTGTTGATAACAATGTTTTGGGTGCCCTATATGTAATTGTTTCAAATGAAAAACATGATATGGGGTTTTATCATTATCTTTTGATGCTTGAGTGAGAATTTGAAAAATGGATGAAAGAGGTTGCTAGATCTGTAAATAGCAATGTTTCAGGTGCTATGTATGTAGACTGCCCTTCTAAATAGATGCATTTACGCTTGCCACAATCAGACCATTGTGAATTTGTTAAAAATGAAAAATATGGGATGAGGTTTATCATTACTTACGATGTTTGAGTGAGAGTTTGAAAAATGGATAAAAGAGCGTGATTGATTTGTAAATAGCATTGTTTGGTTAAATTACATACAGGGTACTCAAAACCGATGCTTTTACGCTTGTCACAATCAAATCTTGTGAATTTGTTAAAAATGAAAAATATTGGATGGGATTTTAACATTACCTTCGATGTTTGAGTGAGAGTATTAAAAATGGATGAAAGCGTGATTGATTTGTAGATAGCAATGTTTTGGCTAAACTACCTATAGGGTACCCAAAACTGATGCATTTACACTTGTTACAATCAAACCATTGTGAATTTGTTAAAAATGAAAAACATGGGATGAGGTTTTATCTTTACCTTCGATGTTTGAGTTGGAATTTGAGAAATGGCTCAAAGAGGGTACTTGATTTACTGATAGCAATGTTTTGAGTGCCCTGTATGTGATATCCTCGAATGGAAGACATGGAATGAAGCTTTATCTTTACTTTTAATATTTGAGTGAGAATTTGAGAAATTACTGAAAGAGGGTGCTTGATTTGTTGTTAGCAATTTTTCAGGTGTCTTTTATGTAGTATCCTCAAATGAAAAATATGGGGTAGGGTTTTATCTTTATCTTTGATGATTGAGTGAGAATTTGAGAAATGATTGAAAGACGATGCTTGATTTTTTGATAGCAACGTTTCAGGTGCACTAACCGTATGTAATATCCTTAAATGAATAATATGGAATGAGGTTTTATCTTTACTTTTGATGTTTGAGTGAGAATTTGAGAAATGGATGAAAGAGGGTGCTTGATTTGTTGTTAGCAATGTTTTGGGTGCCTTGTATGTAGTATCCTCAAATGAAAAATATGAGGGGTTTTATCTTTACTTTTGATGTTTGAGTGAGAATTTGAGAAATGACTGAAGGAGGGTGCTTGATTTTTTGATTTCGGATGCTCTTTATGTGGGAAAAATATTACATCAGGACTTCTAATGCATTCAGAGTCCAATGGCGAGGTGCCACGTTAAGTGGGCTCCACTGTTTTTAATATTGACCAATACCTGTGTATTACGGTGGGGCCCACTTGACACGTGGTGCCCCATCATTGGACTTCGAATGCAAACTACGTTAGGAGTCCTGATGTAATATTTTCTCCTTAATGTGATTGCATCAATTGAAAAATATGGGGTGGGGTTTTATCCTTACCTTTGATGTTTGAGTGAGAATTTGATAAATGGCTGAAAGAGGGTGCTTGCTTTGTTGATAGCAACGTTTCAGGTGCCTTGTATGTAACTGCATCAAATGTAAGAATTTGGGTGGGTGGGGTTTTATCACTACCTCTGATGTTTGGTGGTTGTGTATGTTAGTTTGTATGGAGGTAGTGTTGTGGAGGTGGTGGTTGGTGCGTGGTTGCGTTTATTCTAGAGGATGTGTTGTTGGATGTGTGAAGGTGGTGGTGTTGCGGATGTGGTGGCTGGTGTGTGGTTGTGTTTGTGTTAGAGGATGTGCTAGTGGATGTGTAGAGGTGATGATGTTGTGGACGTGGTGGTTGACGTGTAATTGTGTTTGTATGGTGTTGGTGTGTGGTGTAGATGTGTTGGTGTTTGAAGGTGTTTATGTGTGGAGATGGTGGTAGTGGTGATGTGTAAATGGTTGTAGTGTGGTGTGGAGGGGCATTTGTGATGATATTATGACATTCATGTTTTTCTTTGAGTTGCAATATTATGACACTTATTTATGTTAATTAGTTTTTTTTCATGCTAGTAATATAATGATTAAGACAAAAGGGACCGGTTCATCTGGAATGTGTGATAAAGAGAATTAATATTTTGCGATCTTTGTCTCAAAAAGGTCGAACTTGGAAATATACCACATTCATTATATTACTAGACAATTGATATTTTGCGACCTTTGCCTCATTATATTGCTATTTCAACAAGGAAGACTGATAAATTATTATTAGAAAAATCAAGGAAAGTACAGACATAGAGTATGATAAGATGCAGTTAAAAAACAAGTGAGATCCACTAAATAAGGATTGAAAAATCTGGAAGAAATTGAATCGATGATCAACAGACTTGGGTGGGATATGGTAAAGAGAACGATTGATGCTTTTAAGGAGTGGTGACAGAGAGATTGTGGTGAGTATTTTGAAAATATCTTTTATTTTGTCAATTTTTTATTTATTTTCATATCCAACATGTTAAATGAATTTGTAGGTGTCTGCTGCAAAAAGATTTAAATATAGTGGATTCTATCCTAAGTTGGAGAACTTAGATCTTATGTTTGGAGGTGATGTGGCAAAGGACAATAATGCATGTGCTCCCAATGAGACGGGGTTTGGTGACATCATAAAAAATATGAGAGCTAATTACAAAGGTGATTCTAATGAAGCCCCTAATCCGGATCTCTATGATGTTGAGTCCACGAGCCAGTCAAAATGTCCCGGGTTAAAAAAAAGGGAATTACTTTCCTTGAATGCTTGATCTCACAGTTGGCGGCTTTATGCACTAATGAGTCATCACAAGCAACTTCTGTTTAGCAGGTTATATAAATTTTGGATATCTCCATAAATTTATGAGGACATGCCGCTGTATTGTTCTCTATGATGTTGCTTGAATATTCGACCCGGAGAGAGTTTTTCATAACGATTCCCGTTGACCATAGGGTGACTTGCTTACGTTATTTTCATGGGAGCAGTGACATTTTTGGGGCACTTTTTTTTTATTAGATTATCATGGGTCATTTCTATTTGTTTAGAATTTTCATGATGCTTTAGATATTTATGTTGCTTTAAGCATATCACTTTGCTTGATAGTTTTTCATTCCCTTTATATTTTCTATTTAATTTTGTAATGTTTTTTGTTTATGTTGGTTTTGTTCGTAAGCTTATATGATTGTAGCTAATTCATTGATGTTTATGTGTTAGCCATATTGATCTGTAATACATGAATGCATCTAAAGAGATGCACAAAAGGAGAGTTGCAGCTGCAGTATGCTTGATGTATGAATATTATGACTCGTACATAGAACACTCCCCTTGCATTAAATCCTCATATGTTGGCCATAAATGGGTTGTGGAGTTGCTTGTGAGCCACCCAACTAGATTTAGCAGTATATTTCGAATGCCACAGACGATAATCACCTATCTGTCGGAGGAATTACACAGAAATAATGAACTTCATATATCATCTAGAACGACTTCACGAGAGGTGTTAGCAATAACCCTCAACATATTATCGCATAATGAATAAATGTGAGGAGCTATGAAGCGATTTCAACACTTTTTCAAAACGATTTGTAGATATTTCTCAATAAAGTTGAATGCATTTCATTTTTCTTAACAAGTTATAAAATCAACAGATCCTACAATCGAACGAATCCCCATAGAGATTCCGCGTGATACGCAGTATATGTCATACTAAATTTCTTCAATTTATTACATTTAGTTTTCATATAAATATCATGATTATGTAATCATTCATTATCTTTCTAAAATTAAATTGGAACAATCGATGAAATACACGTTTTTCATATAATGAAAATATTGTATTCATCTGTCATTGTGGGTCCCCGACATATAATGTTATGTCGGTATGCTACTTCAACACGTGCTTCACTTTTATCATGACCAGTTGAGAAGGCAGTGCACATCACAGTCGAATATTTAAATCCCCACTATGAAATAATAAATATAATTTCTCACATTCACCCGGAGGTTCGCTTGAGATTAAGCAACTCTCGTAATTGTTTTTCCTACAACACTATTTATTCAACTCATATCAGATAAATACTATTTCGTTGATGTTGGGTATTCTTTGCAGCGAGAGTATCTCAAGCTCTATCATGATACGAGATGTCACATCTGATTTTGAGCGAGCCGGTAATGTTGTGCAGGGCAGGAAATAAATGTTCAACAAAATACATTCATCATTACGAGATGCTATTGAGAGGATTTTTGATGTTTAGAAAAAATGATTTATACTTCGCGATATGACATCTTACCTATTTCCTAAACAGATGCATATTGTGATTGTTACGATAGCGCTACAATTATATTCGACGACATTCTTCCCGCAACGACATCGACTTTCTTAGGGTGGACGATGATCATGAATATGTTCCTGTCAAGACATATGAGTACCGTCTTGAGCTGTCTTTATCACAGACCGAAAATGATGTTCTCAAGACTTGCACTAAAGACAGAGAAGCTGCAAGCGAGATGACAGAGTTGAGAGAATGAATTTCGTATTTGAGTTGGAGGGTGATTGGAGGGAATGATAGTTTTTATCATATTATTAATTGTAATGACTGTTAAAAACATTTACTGTTTATTGTATTAGTATTTTTTATAGTTCATGTTTATTTATGTTTTTTATGCATTTGATATTTATTGTTTTTGTTTTTTTACCCAATTTGCATTTGTTTTTTTTTTTCAGTTTGCATTTGTTTTTTTTTCCTTTTGCATTTTTTTTTTCTTTTGGTGGGTTTTGGAGGATATATGATGAGACATTTGACATTACAATTTCTTCTGGATGACATGTATGTTGCTATTGGTTGGTGTCACATGTGAAATCCTAATAAAAACAATCAAGTTCCTTTCCCTTTTTTGGTGTTATGATTTTTAAGGTTCTTCTGGATGATTTTTTTTGTGATATGCATGTGACACACGCAAGTTTGATATTACATGAGTTAAAGACAATAAAAAATCCTTTATTATAAGGTTTGTTGTATTTTCGTAGTGACAGATTCGTTAGTTTATATACTAAGCTTTCTGAGACCTCAAAGGTGTATACAACTATAAGTAATTATTTTTGTTATCAATTTTTACTTATGCTGTGTATAAAGATATGTTTTTTTAAGCATTCATGAAAGTTGAGCTCGAGGATTTTTGGTACCTCCAGAAGATTGCACTGGTACTGTAGACTTCAAAGTTCTCTGCTAACTTCACTTCAGTCATATAACTACAGGATACAGTTTTACAGGTGCCAATGAAGAATTACGAAAAACAATGACTTTTTTAGGTGGGCAGATAGGCTGGAAGATTCCACCGCTGAGAGTGATCGAACATTGAGAGTATCCTTGAAGAACAACTTAGCTCATGACATACACCATTTGCATTTTAAAAATAATATTATTATATTTTTTATTCGTTATTTTAATAGTCTTTTTCTTAATTTTAGTAGTTATGTTACCACTGTTAAATAAGATGTCTATCTTTATTTTGTATTGTTAAGCACTAGATATTTATTTTTAATGTATAGAATGTACTGATATAAATAAGTATGTTGTAAACAACATTACTATACATGGGCATAATGATCATTTATCTAGAAACAATTGTAGCATAACTGTTTTCAAATTGCAAAAAAACAAACAAACAGTTAGCTTATCTGCAGCTGCTTTTGTGCAGCAGTTTCTTGTGGCAGCTGCTGCGTATTATTAAATTGCAGCTGCCTCAAACGGACCCTAAATCATTTCCTATGAAATATTGAAAACCACAGTTTTTTGGTTTCGTTTTACTATTCATTAGACTAAAAAGAGCACAAAAAAATGCTTAACTTCGAATGCATAAACTTAACCAAAACTGCAAATCACCCTTTGAATTTAAATAAATTAACATATTGAACTTTTTTCCTTCCCTTTTTATTTAGTGCGTGATGAACTCAAGCTGGAAGCATCTCGTCATGTCTATCTAGAAACCAGAAATGAAGGAGGGAAAAATAGAAAAAATAGTAGTTAATTAGTTAATAAGAGAAAGTTGTCATAAAAATTAGAAGATTATAAATCTGTGAAGAAATCATGATTTTTCAGGGTGCTTGAAAGTTATTTGACTACATGCAAATAATAATATTTTTGCTTCCTAAGCCTTTTTTTTTCAGAAGCATGAGATTATTATAACAAAACTAATTTTCTCCCCCATTTGATGGGCACATGATAAAAAGAACCTTCAATGCAACTAACCCACCCATGACCCATCCGTTAAAAGATAAAAACTTTAGTTAAACATTAAATAACAAGAGCTGCATAGGGGTGTAAACATTAAATAAATAGGTTGAGTTGTGCTCGAGCTGCTCTCAATTTGAGTTTAAGCTTGATTAATTAATCAGTTTATGCGTGAGCTTAAGCTTGATTGTACGAATTGAGTCGGCTCGTGAGAGCTAGCTTGTTTGTTATCAAAAAGAAAGTAATTTTGATTCAAGTGTTAAAATACAATGACAAAAAGAATGAACAATTAGGGAATAAATAATGATAATTCACCCGATACATGAAATTAAAATATTAATGATTTATACTTAAAACTCTTCATACATATTTTATGTGCATTTTATATTAATATATTTTTTTAAAGAATCATCTTTGGAGTTAATGAGTAGAGTTAGGGCTGGCTCATGAGTCCTCATGAGTCATTTATCAAGCCAAACTCAAGCTATCCTCAGTTACGCGCCTAGACATGTGTATATATATATAGCAGCTATATTGGGAGAATGAGGAGATGGCCAAAGTAGAACTTCAACCATGTTGTCACCATCCAGGCACGAGTTTTCATGTCTATATTAATATACCCGATATTATCTGCTTATTTATTTTTAACTTTGGGTTTTGTGACTTTATGATTCATAGAGATACGCTTATTGTTATATTTTAAAGGCCATCTTGTCTGACACATGCTGTACAGGATGCTACGGCAAATGATGTACCGAGTGAATTCGAAGTTCAAGGCTATCCAACTTTGTATTTCTCGTCTGCTGCTGGAAAGCTATTGCAATATGAGGGAGGTAGAACAGTCCAAGATTTCATTGACTTCACAAACACAAACAAGGAGGCTGCTGCAGATAGCACTATTCATTCTGATTCCATTAAAGATGAACTCTGATTCTGGTGCGCTCACCATTTCATTTTCTAGAAGGCTAAGTGATCAGTTTTGTATTAGAAAGAAAAGAATTGATACTTTTACATAAATATCACTTAATTTCTATGCATTTACATATCTAACACTTGAGCAGCTCATTTTTTATACATATGCCACCTAACCCATGCACGAAAACGTATATTTATCTTTTTTTTAAAAAGTTAAAATAGTGATATTTTTTATGTCATATGCAAGATTTTGGTGGTATAAAATTAAGGTTTGGGTGTGAGATCTGTAAGTGGAATTGGGTGGAAATGTATGTAAATACCCCTACTATAAGTGCTAGAAACATAAATTCAAAAAAGTGATTTATTGCGTGTCTTTGTTTTCTATTTTCAAAATCCTCCGCACAAGCCGAGGATATATATATATAAGATTAGTTGGTCGGGCATCTGCTTGTCAGTTGTAAGTCTGTTTGGCGTTCGATTCCCCCCGAGTTTAGGGTGTAGTAATCGAATTCTTAGGCGCATGAAGAATGACTGGAGCTTACATAATAGCCTCGAGCCTTTCCTTTTTTTCAATATATATATATATAATTATGTATAATTGATGCTTTTTGTGTGAAGCTGACATTTAACTTTCATGTACAGCGCAGATTTCTAAATTGAGCATGGAAGCGGGTTGATAAGCGTCACTTCGTGGAGGCTTCCTTACTCATATAATGTTTTTATTTTAGAATTTTAATGGCATTCAAACAAAGCATTGGCTTTCATTTCGGCAATTTCATCCACTTTTCTAACATTTTGATGAGTAGTGACTGTTCATGTTTAAATCTCGGTACTAATTTCTATTGCGATTACATTTTGGACCCATTTTCTAAGTTTTATTTATTATATCTTCATTTCTTGCATGGGTTGATTACTTTCATCTTTCCAATTTTTGTTCTTTTTGGTTATTTATGATGCACCAAATACAGTGCTGGGAAACAAAATGAAGAATTTCAAGAAATTAATGTGTAATTTTATTTTATTTTTTTCTGTTTTTTGTAAGAGATGAATGTGTTTTTCAAAAAAATTAAGATGGGGGATTTTATCTTGATATTTATTTATTTGTCGCTCCTTCATTATACACATGTTGGTCGACCTGGCCTACGGCGAAATTCTAAGTTTCATTTTTTCTACATGTCTTAAAAGGCTTGCTATATAAATGTAGGGGTGTAAACGAGCCGAACACTAGCGAGACCAGACTCAGCTCGTTTATATTTCAAACACGTTTATATTTCAAACTCAAAAAGTGTGTTCGTGTTCGGCTCGTTTGTT